AGACCAGATAGATAGGCATTTTCCTAAAAGGCTTTCATGAAAACCCAATTCAACAGTTCACCCTAGTCTGCTGGCTCAATAAATAAAACAGTTCAAAGTGTTTAGTCACTAGCAAATATATAAAAAATACGGAAAAATCCACCTGTAGCCCTAAAGAAGCTTTCATTTTCTTCTTACCACCATAAAAATTGCAATGACAATGTCTTCAAGATACCTCCTCTGTTATCTGTATTAGCTTAGACAACGTACCCTCCTAGTAGCTGACCTGCAGAAAAGGTATAAATCTGAGTCAAGAAATAACACCAGCACTTAAAACCCAGACTCGCCTACAAATAAGCAAGTCAGCTCCCAGCAAAACGCATGTGACCTGTCAAGCTTCTCCTCTCTCCCCCTCCTAGACATCACCATTCATTTTAATGTTGGTTTGGTGGTGGGGTTTTTTTTGTTTGTTTGTTTGTTTTCTATTCCAGCATGTTCTTGTCTCCAGATCTAACATTACCCATTGGTATTCCTTTGGAAGTAGTTTGTTCTTTACTACTAGCAGGGCAAGAAAGCCTTGAACATGTTTGCTTATAGTATCCAACTTTGAGAGATCTAAATGTGATATAGTAAGTGTTATATATCAAGGTTCTTCACTTTTAAATTAAGCTACTTGAACCCAGTGAGGAATATAAAAACATTAACAGAGCAGTTCCTGAAATTCCAGCTTCCCAGTTAGACAGGCCCCTTCACAGACCCTTCCTCCTCACTGCACAAACACGGCAGCCTCCAAAGAGGAGCCTGTAAGGGCTTTGGGAAGGTTTAAAGCAGCAGATGAGGCTCTGGCTCTGACAGTCCTTCCATCCTCAGCATCCTCCACGTTCCTGCCCACCAGCGGGGCTCTGGGCCTCATGGAAGTCCCCCATCACACACTCCAGACACAGCCAAGCAGATTAGTTCAGAGACACTTTCATCGTCACGTTAAGCTCATCAAGGCTGCTTGCCCAATACAATTTTGGGTGTGCCCACATAGTGACACACAGGGGGCATCTGCTGGAGGGAGTCCCATCAGTGGAGGTGTTGGTCTGGCCGGCTAACAGGCATACATCTGGCCAGCTGCTGCATCCATCATCCGCTGGGTGCACAGGAACACTCTACCTATCCTCTCCCAACACTTCAAAAATGCCTTGTTCAGAGCAGACCAGGCTCTGTCCTTCACCAGAGAGCAAGAAACAAATGCTGAGCTGCATTCCAGAAGCCCATGCACAGAACCTGGCTTGAAATCAGCAAGTTTCTGGCCTGAATCTGAACCAGGATGATTAGTCTTTAGCTATTTCTGTCTAGCCTGGAGCATCTCACAGATTAAAGATAGTCAGAGCCCTGACAGTCTTCAACAGTGAGAATTTTGGATCCTCAAAACTGTAATCAGTCCAATTGGTTGCTGTTGCAACTTTTGCTGGGTTTAAAGTCAAGTATTGCAAGGACTGGTATTCAGAGCCAGAAGTCCCTTTTGAGTTAAAAGCAAACAGGGTCTGCTAAATTCTGTTGACCTTTTACTTGGAAACAACAGACCTACAGATATACTACTTTAATACAGGAAAATTTGGATTCTGATGCAATCATGTTACTCCAGAAGCCTGGCCTAAGGCCACAGCACTATCACTGGCAGAAGTGATCCAGTGTTCTGCTGGTGCCACATGGCCCCTCTCCCTTCTGTAACAACTACAACAGCTTAGGTTTAACCACTATTTCCCAGCCTGGTGCACTGTACAATCACACAGACAGTGGTGGAAGAACAAAGGAGGGTGTGGCACTGTAAGGAGGCAGATGTCCCTGGCTGGAATTATTTCCTTCAGCCACAATGCCAGCTTTTGCTAGGGTAGGACAACCCTGAGGCTACAGGCAAGTCAGCATGAAGATGCTTCTGGTCACACAACCACAGGATAATTGAAGTTGGAAGGGTCCTCTGGATGTCATCTGGCCCAATCGCCTGCTCAAGCAGGGCCACCTAGAGCTGATTGCCCAGGACCACGTCCAGACAGCTTCTGAATATCTCCAAGGATGGAAAGTCCACAAGCTCTCTGGGCAACCTGTGCCGGTGCTCGGTCACCCGCACAGTGACAAAGTTTCCTGATGTTTCCAGGGAACCTCCTGTCTTTCAGTTTGTGCCCACTGCCTCTGGTCCTGTTGCAGGGCACCACCGAGAACAACCTGGCTCTGTTGTCTTTACACCTTCCCTTCAGATACTTATATACATTGATGAGATTCCCCTCAACATCCTCTTCTCCAGGCTGAACAGTCCCAGATCTCTCAGCCTCTCCTCATAGGAAAGATGCTCCAGCACCCCTCACCACCTTTGTGGCCTTTTGCTGGACTCTCTCCTGCAGCTCCATACGGTGCTTTGGCAGTCTCACCCAGCTGGCAGACACTGATACCACGCTCCCTTGTCTACCCTGCAAATCTGGAAAGTTGGCAGCATGCAGGAGAGCTCATGTCCCTTCCCAAAACAGGGGCTCTTTGGTCAACCTGTGTGTAAAGGGCAGCCTGTATCAGAGTGTTTCAGTGAGCAGCTGTAACTACCAAGCATCACCTGAATGTAACACATAACCTGAGACCAAAAAAAATTCTGTCGTCTCTGAATAGGAAGTTTATTCAAAGAGACTCAACATACTCACTATAGTTTATTTTTACAGCAGGTACACCAAACCAAGACAGTTAAAACACTAAGTCTCCAAAGCTCTGGATATTATGTAAATAAACTCTAAATAATTGCCTGCATTAAAGTCTGGTTCAGTGTTCAGCAATGAAAACAGCTCTTGGTTTTTTTTTAATTAAATTCTGATTTTATTTATAATTCTAGACTGTTCTGTTTGTTTATTTACGTGAAAAAGTTATCCTGGTTGTTACCTGCCCAAGCCTTATTCTGAAACTGTATGATTAACACCAGTATTTCTGAAAGCTACACATCAAATAGATTCATATGACTAAGGACATAAGTCCCTCAACTGCCAGCATAAGCAAACTGAGCTATGCCAGGCTCATTCGTGACAGACATACAGCAATTTACAAACACTCCTCCAACTAACGGAGAGCTTGATGATCCTAGAGGTCTTTTCCAACCACAGTGACTCTGACAATGGCTGTGAGGACACCAGCTGATACAGCCAAGAGCCATGTGCACACCATGATCCCCAACAGCTTTTTATGCACGGTGGGGTCAGGCAACACAGGGAAACACACGGCCCTGGCTCACCCGGTGCTGGAACACACGGCTCCGACTCGCGCTCGGCGCTGAGGAGCTGCGTTTTTACACAGTTTCGGACTGGTCTCCACTGAGCAATGATGCTGGTTGTCAGTAATTTATTCATTGAGATCCCACAGGATTTCTCTTCACAGTGTTACCAGCTTAGGCTGTGACTCCTGCTCCGATTTGTGGGTGATACCAACCCCTGCACAGAGTCTCCAGCTCTAACAGCTGGCACCTCTGGCGCAAGCACCCCAGGCGCATCGCCGCTTCAGCCAGGATGGTGTGGCAGCAGTGGCAGCTCCTCTCACACTGCAAACCCTTCTCCTTTCCAGTACAGGGTACCCGAGCCCTGTTGCCTGCCTCCAGCCTCCCAGCCACAGCCCCCAGCCTTTACAGCTGTTAACTACTGCATTTCAGAAAACTTTACCAACTCACTGATTTTTCATAAAAGCTGATCGTTGCCCATTTGCTGCAGACACTGGCCTGCCTGTTTAAAAAGAAAAAACAACTACCCCATTGCCAGACTATCAATACACAAGAACATCTACAAAGAAGCTGTTACAGTTTATCATGCAGTAGTCCAGGGATTAAGGTCATTAATAGCACTCCATAACATATTGCCATGACCCCAAAGGTGCTGTTCTGGCTTGCAGGATATACAGAACATAACTCCCCTCACAAACATTTTGCCTGAGTTGTTTTCACCTAAATCTTCAAAGGAAGAAGAGAAATGAGAAAATCCAGAAAAGAGATTCCTAGCATGATATATTGCATTGCACCAAAAAAGGTTGTAATGAAAATAAATTAACATTTTCAAATAATACTGAATTTTCTTCTCATTCATGTTGACGTTTTCACAGTTCTTAGCAAGTAACCAAAATTTTCATCTAGAGAGCTAAATTTAAAAAGCAAGCCAAGACACTCTCCCATGCCCAAAAGACAAAGCCACAACTAAAACTTTCAAAATAGGATCCAAAATGCTCAAATTTTGCCCTTTAATTATTTATATGAAATAAGCTTTTTCATTTGTTGACATGAGAACAGAAATGTATCATCACAGAAAACACTGCGTACTCCCCCAAATCCCACGAGGTCATTAATCTTCTTTTATGCAGTACACGAAGTATTTTCACAGAACTTCTAAAATAGTTTTCTAAAGCGTGCCTGATGTCATTAGGAAGCCAGAAGAAGCTGACAGCCTAACAACATAATTTCTGAATATCCTCCAAAGAGAATATTGTGATATGGATTTGCACTATTATCTGCACTATCCATACCTGTAACTATCAACGCTATTAATTTGTCTGAGAGTCCCCAATACCAAGGGTAAATGACTGTTGTGTCAAAGTTGAAGTAATGGATAGACTTTTCTTACCTCTGTTGGTTTAAACTAAAGAATCTGCACTATTTCCATGTGATTTGTTTATCTAGGCTCTGGTAATGGCCTAGAGCAGTGCCATGACATATTTTCATTTACCATGAAACAATGATAACTCATCAAATGTACACAGGCGAATACAACTGCCCCACCCACAGCCATATGAATTTTTTTGTAAACAACATATTGACAGTGGAAAAAAAATCCTTACAAAGAAATCTTTTAAAAGACTCAATAAATAGTAGTTATGACAAACATTTGTACAAGTACACATTTTACCAAGAACAAATCGCTTTCTGATTAACTTTGTTTAGTTGCAATTCATCATTTCACATTTCAGTTTCAGTACAATGTAGTAGCATTTTCACTACACATGCAATTTTTTTTTTTTCTTACCTTTAAGGAATCAAAGCAGGCAATAACTCTTCCATTTTCAACCTGGCAGCTTTTAGGAGGGTGTGCAAATTTGCATTCTTCATCAGAGCGTGAACAAGTTCCCCTCTGAAATTGCCTGCACACTTCTAACGTTAGCCATTTTGTATCTCTTACGGGAGCAACATTCAAAGCCATGGTGAAAAGCTGATTTTGAATTTGTAAATTGCTGTCAAGTGAATTATTCTGAAGAAACTTCCAAAACGAAGGGAAGAGAGAAAAAAAGGAAGAAAAAAAAAAAATCCTGCAACAAAAATAACCTAGAAAAAAATTATTTCAACTTAAAAGAAAGTTTTAAAAAAAAAAAAAGAGTGGGGGACGATTAACGATGTCCAACACACACAAAGCAGAATAAACAGAGCAAGTTTATCAGCAAGCAGTCACTCATCAATCATTAAGTCCCGCTTGTAGACTTTTGGCTGGGAAACACCATGCTCAGTCGCATTGCTGTCTGCAGAACACGGGGCCTTGCGGGTCGTGTCACGGACGCCCCGGGTTTAAGCCCAGGTCCTGCGATGCAATGGCACTCCTTGGTAGGACAGCAGTTCTCTGACGGTTGCTTGCTGGTATTGATCACCCAAGAAAAGCAATGCAGTCATTTGTTCATGGCCCGGGAATAATAATAATAATAATTATTCTTCCTCTTTTTCTGCATTCAGTTTCCCATCAACTAATTGGCAAATGGAGAGAGCTGAGGTATCTTCCGCCAAGTGTGAGGTGAAGGCAATGTCTGGCTGGCAAAGACGGGATTTTGAGAACACGAGGGTAGCAGTCCTTGCTCATAAAAGTGACTTGACAAAGGCACTTTTTAAGTCACTGACCTGACAAAACAAATACAGTATCAGTTCACGTGCAACTCATTCAAATCAACATTACGAAACCTATCATGTTTTTATCAGACATTATAAACATATTGCCAATGCTCACTTGTGTGGTTTTTTTCCCCAAACAAAACCGGCCTCCTTTGTGAAGTTGGGCATGACAAGGGAATAACCGGTTGATACACGTAGTGCAGTAATATTCTAGGCAGCAATCCAGAAGTTGGGAATGATTTAAATAGATGAATGTGGCAGACACAATAATTAGGCATGCTGGTTGTGGAACAATTCAGTGTGCCTAGTCTCTGAAACACTATACAAGAACACTTCCATTAATTTATCATTTGGCCCTTCAGATTATGCTACTGCATTACAAACTGTTACTTGTTGATTTTCTCTTCCTTATAAATGAGGGATGTAGTATTCTGTTCAGATTTTTTGTCTCTCCCTCTTTTTCCCAAGGGAAAAACAAAACAGTCATTCCAGAACTACAGGGGAAAAAAACCCTCCCATATCCACAAAGTAGAGTTAGTTTCCCTGTTAAGCTAAAGCCTATTTCAAAAAGGCTTCATGAAAGGGCTCATCACTAAGTCATCATCCTCTAATGAGTTCTCTCTCATATGAAGCAGTCTTTATCTGAATTTTTCTTTGATTAAATTAGCTTTCACGTACCTTTACAAATACATAGTTCAGCATCAAAATCTAAGACTTAAATATGAAACTTCAGCTATTTGGGGAGTATAAAATACCTAGGATGTTTTATAGATAAACAGATCTGAAAATCAAAGAGTTAGATGATATAAATATTTTTAAATAAATTACTATTTTATATGCAGATGGTGAAACCACAGACATGATGTTTCCTTCTATTTAGCTTCAAAGGAACACAACTTTTACTTTGCAGATATCAGCTATAAACAGTTGATGGACTATTTTTGTGCAAGAATAAAGAGGAAGACTGGAGCTAGTGAGGTTTTAAAATGCATCAATAAAAACAGCTTTAAAAACACTTGCAGCTTTCCCATGCCAAAGTAACTATCACTCTGTGCTGAGATTCATCCGATTTAATTGAAATCAGTATTTTTAGTAATGTGAGTAACAATTACACAGTTTCAGGAACAGATCCCAGTTCTGACTTCCAGGACTTCACATCAAAAGGCTTTCGTACTACTTAAGAACGCTACCAGAAAGGGGTTTACCACGTGACCGATACCTATACCAAAATTTGCTACTGCTAGCATAGAGAAATGCTAATTGCTCATAAATTCAGTTTCAAGTCCAACATGCAGTAAGATGGGTCTGGATGATACTTAGCTGGTTTTATCCAGTCATCAGGAATAATGTGTTACAAGAGAATTAGTACATTTTTAAATAATTCTACACAACTTGTATAGTACAGTACATGAATTGAATACTCCTCAAATGAAATATTCCACTGATATTGTCCCAGAGCATCAATGAAGAGTGAGGTTAATGCAAAAACGTACAAAGAGTGAGAAAATGCTCATAACTGATGAAAAGGAAAAAGAAGGGGAAAGACAAGGCCAGTGTCTCCACAAGAGCTTGTTGGGCTGATGATTTAGCTGGCTAAATGTAAAAGAGGAAATATTCCCCCTAGAGCTACCCATTCCTATTCAGAAATGCCAGTAACAGTTTTCAGTTATAGATGTAGGAGGCAGACAGGAAATTCTGGGGAAAGGGTCAATGTTATACCACACACTGCTGAAAGCCACAAGTAGTAATGCTCTGCCGGGCTGCACACTACTAAAATTGTCAAAGTTGTTTCTCAAGTAGTAGGTGTTAAGGCTGAAGAAAACCAGACGTTGCACATGGCGGGACAGCAACCAGCACACTGTACCTGAACAGCAGGAGCCAGGGCTTTAAAACACCACACACAACAGAATCACACACAAGATTCCTGAGACTGGCTAAACAGCAAGACTGATACCAAAAAGGGATAGAGGGATAGATGGTAGAAGAGGAATGAAATACAGGGTCATCCTGTTTCTTATCTTCTTAGTACATGAACATTTTCTAAAGAAAGGGAAGCATGAAAACTTTATCTCAAAAATCCATATCTTGTCAAAAGTAACAAGACTATCCAACTTCCCAAGATGCACTGAGTGCAGTTTCTACTGATGTAGAATTAGGAGAGACAGAGACAAAACCTTTCTGAAGGCAATGCCTTCAGTAGGAGGCAGGTGCAAACACGGGGGAGACAGAAGAATCTGAAGCGCTTCATTCCCCACCACTTACATGGCCTATGTGTTCACAACCACATCCTAGGCAGCTGCCACGCATGCACCAAGAGGGGTAGAGGAGGAGATGCTACCTGGAAAGCCTGAACATGAGAGGGAAGCAGTACAAGAAAAGGGAGAGAAAAGAAACTCAGGGGGAAATTAGGGGAGAAACCAAGGAAAGCAGAATTACAGATGAGAGGACAGATCTCAAGATCAGGAAAAAAATGGGAGTGAAATGGATGGTTGTGGAAGAGGAAGGAAGGGAGAGGCTTCATGGAAAATGAGGAAAACATACAATAGGAATGGAAGAAACATGGAGGGAGGATGTGAACATTGGGGGAGAGAAGGGCAAGAAGTTATTTCAAAAGGCAAGTAGAAGAGACTATGATTATAGCGGAAAATCCAGCAGTTTGCCTATACAGAGGAAAGTAAATGAGGGAAAAGAAACATGGGATTTACAGAAAAAAAAAATGCAATAATAGTAACAATAATACTGCTCAATAAAATGCCTCTCAGGCCACAGGCCATTACTAACATCACAGCCTACTCTGACCTTGTGTTGCAAAACCGACCTGTGGAAAACACCAGGGCCTCCAGCAAATGTGAACTCTGCTCTTCTTTCCACTACTTCCAACTCCAACTTGTGTCCCAACACAGGCAAAGTTAGCTGTCCTGCCAAAACCAACAGGAGGTCGGCAGCCTAGAGCCCTCAGCATCAATGGGGTCCCTTATCCAGGCAGGTTTGCCTTGTGGTTTGTTTGGGGGTGTTGTTTTGTTACAGTCATTAATGATTCCAACTTAAGCCTACACTCACCACTGTAGCTAAACAAACCACCAAAACTTACATGTTGACAACAGAGGTGAAAAATATCCTTACTCAAGCTGAAGAAAGCATTCAATACGCTAAGTACAAAAGAACCATTTTTGTTTGTTGTTTTTACAACTATTGCTGTTTATTTTCAGTCTCTCACACACTTGGATTGACAGAATTGATCTGGAATACACACTCAAAACAAATGCAGTTCTTCATAGGCCAAGTTAAATAAATTCAAGACATGTATTTGTAAAAAATAATTAGCTTTAGACCACTCTTTTCAGATAACCATTGCCTTCCTTTTGTGGAAAGCTAGCAAGGCATGAAGGAGTAGGAGGCTTTTGCTAAACTCATGTTCTCCTGAGAGAACAAGAAAGAGCCTGTGTCGGGCTCTAGATCTTCTTTCTGTTCCAAACCACACAATCATTTCTCCATCTTCAAGGTAAGAAAAGAAACCCACCCACAAAAACTGATTAAAAAAAAAATCATAATTTTAATTATTGAACAAGGCAAAGTACACAGGTGCTAGGAGACCCCAGAAAAGGTTCTTGTTCTAAGAACACTAGGCAGCCAGCATCTTCAGGAGTTGAAAGTAAGCACAAAGCCCTGCCTTGTTAGGAACCACCTGGATCTCTCAGAGGGAAAACAGGAGCTCTTGCTATATACAAAATATGGGCTGCTCTGATACAGTTTTACTTATCAGACAGATTATGTGGCAATGGTTTCTGTAGCATCTGTTTACTGTAGAAGCTGAGACTACCTAGACACATTGTATTCATGCCTCAGTAGATAACATGTAGTAATGAGCAAAGACCTCATCTTCCAGAAGTCAACTCTGCAGGTGATGACTTCCAGTAAAGGAGAAGTAAAGAAGTGTCCTCTACATGAGCCCAGCACAGATCTCTAGTGGAACCACTAAGTTAACTCAACACGTATTAAAACAGTTTTTTGTACTTTAGAGTGTTAAGCACTCTGTATTATTCATCCCATTAAAATCTCCAGTAAGAGATATCAAGATGGGGGCTTCATTTGTTGGTCCTACTGTTGAAGTTTAATCAACATGATCCATATATTTCTTCTATATGTACACCAGAAACTCAAGAATTAAAAGGTCAGAAAACCCTCAACTGTACCGAACCGGGATTGCACAGTTTAAAGTATACAAACTCTTCTTTCCCAGCAAGCCAGAAGAGATATGCTAAACACACTTAACTATACAAGTTTGATGATGTGCAATGGTCTGTTTTAAAAATAAGAAATATTTAAAAACACACACAAAACTAAAGACTCACTATGCTGTGGAAGCAGGGTGCTCCTCCTTCAGGTCACTAGCAGGGCATAAACCTGTTGACTGTCAGAATAGATTGCTGACTAAATTCAGTTAAACATCTGAACTCAGGTGGGATAAAATTAATCTACAGGACCAACCTACAGTCATCAAGTGACCTGCTGGATAGTCTAATGCCAAGAGAATGTCTTGAGAGCTTGGTTTTCAAATCCATTTTTGCATATACTGCAACTCTTCAGAGAGAGACTGTTACTTTAGCCAAACATGGGAATACTTTCAAAAAGAACAGTCACATATCTAATCCCAGGGAAATGGTACTGCCCAGTTTCAAGTCTTTGACCCAAAGCAGGTT